AGCCTGTGATGGTGCTTTCTGGGGGATTGGCTTTGTTCACTGGGCTCTGCAACAATTGTGGCTCTCGTCGCGTCAACAGTCGTTCGAGTGAGAAAAGTGGGATGGGAACCAACAAGCGATTTACTGAGCGTCTGGTCCAGGCAAGTGGTCCTGACACCGGCAAGGAAAGATATTTAGGTACCTTGTACCGAATAGCTCTGCCTCTGACCATAGAGTACGCTTGCTGCGTCGCAGACAGAAGCTCTGTGCCAATCAATCAACCCAGAGCTGGTGAAATGCACGATATGTTGCTGCAACCTATGCTGTTGACATTTCGCGCTGAAGAGAAGCCGTCTTGGTACATACAACGACCACGGGAAGTGGTCCTCTTGGCGTGTTTATGCTCGCCGCGGCGCTGCGCTCGTCATGCATGCACAACGATCCACCTCGGCACAACGATATCCTGGATTTCCTACCCTTGCAAGGATTGCTGACTCCTGAGTAACTAGGTTTTAAGGGTCCGAAATGCACAACGTGCAGGTGCGGAGCAACATCTTGGAGGATTCACTGAACGATCGACTTTATTAGGTTCCTTCGGTTGCACCAACAACATCACCTCGTACCAGATGCGAGGTACTAAAGTGCTGATCCACGGAACATCGCAATGCTGCGGAGCCTTCTTAAAAGGAGCATTGCTCCCATGAACGGTTTCCAGATGGAAATGTCCAGCCCTCACATCTCTTTGAGCAGCAAGTGGTCCATCACCACTCGGCAGTACATGCTTCATCCATTTGACAAGATTCCAAGACTCCACGTTCTAGCCTGGTCCAGCCTTGAAACTCGCGTGTGCTGCTGAATCATGCCGGCAGCTGTGGAAGTAGTCGGCGCAAATGTCCCATCTGGCGATTTGAACGGGCCTCAAATCAGCACCGGTGTCGACTATACGGAAAGATATGCTCAAGAACGAGACAAACGCCTTGGAAAAGGTTCCAGCCAATACCTGGACCCGAAACAATCAGCAAAGCTAAGCTATCTACTAGAGGACCCTTGGATAGACCCTGGAACTCCAATCCAGCAAGTCGTCTTAGATGGAGGCCACCGCAAGTTTGTCATCGTGGGAGCCGGGTTCGGTGGCATCTTGTTCGCAGTAAATCTCATCAAAGCTGGCTTTCAAGCGGACGACATATTGATTGTCGATCCGGCTGGAGGGGTTGGGGGCACTTGGTGAGCTGCCCGAAGTCCCTGTCTTTTGCTTCGAAGATGCGAGCCCTGATCTGGCTCCACTGGGCTCTGTCTTCCAGAGAGCTGTGCGCTCCGCAACGTGGACCGTGCTGCTGGCTCAGCGGATGAATGGAAGTATCGCAAACGTGTACTGACGCCTCTCTTCAATTTAGGTACTGGAATCGATACCCAGGACTTATGTGTGACGTGGAGGCCTACATCTATATGCCACTTCTTGAAGAGATGGACTACATGCCGAAGCATAAATACGCCAGCGGCGACGAGCTCCGTGAATATGCTGAGCGAATCTGTGGGAAGTATGACCTAATCAAAACTGCCATGTTTCAATCCTCAGTGAAACGAATGCATTGGGATGCCGGAAGACGATGTTGGAAGCTTCAACTGGAACAGAAACCAAAAGGTGGCAACCCTTGCACGATCAATATGACTGCCGATTTCGTGTACCTTGCCAATGGTCTTCTCGCCAATGCAAAAGTACCAGATTTGCCCGGCATAGATGAATTCAGAGGCAGCATGTTTCACACTGCTCGCTGGAACTACGACATCACTGGTGGCAGCTCCGCGTTGCCGGACATGACGAAGCTCCAGGACAAACGCGTTGGCATCATTGGCACTGGTGCGACAGCTGTGCAAGCTGTGCCTCAACTTGCTAAATGGTCGAAGCAGCTGTATGTATTCCAAAGGACGCCGTCTTCAGTCACTGTCCGAAATAACCGGGAGACTGATCCGGCTGTCTGGAAGTCGGACATCGCCTCCAGAACGGGCTGGCAAAGAGATCGAAACATGAACTTCTTTAAGTTTGTCACAAATGCAGACCCAAAGCCAGAAGTAGACTTAGTCGACGACGGCTGGACACACTTACCAACCTTCTCGGCATTAATAGGGGGGCCATCCTACAACGTTACGATGGAGAACGTTGGTGATCATGTCGCCAAGATGCAGGCGTTAGACCTTGAGCATATGAATGGAGTAAGAAGCCGGGCAGCCAAAACAGTCAGAGATCAGAATACTGCGAGCTCGCTCCAGCCTTGGTACAATACATGGTGCAAGAGACCATGCTTCCATGACGAGTATCTTCCGGCTTTCAACAGGCCCGATGTGACGTTAGTCGACACCAATGGTGAAGGTGTCGATCGCGTCACACCAAATGGTGTTCTATATAGAGGACATGAGTATGAGCTGGATGTTCTGGTCGTGGCTACTGGATATGCTTCACCCGGCGCCGGCTCACCACCACAGAAAGCCGGCATTGAATGTATCGGTACTGAAGGCGAGACGCTTGATCAAAGGTACGAGCGAGGAATGTCCACACTGCACGGAGTCGCCACGAGAGGCTTTCCAAACATGTTCTGGCCAGGACCTTTTCAGTCGTCTGCCAGTCCAAACTTCATGTTTACTCTGGAATTACTCTCCGAACATGTTGCTCATATAATCGCCGAGGCCACGAAACGAGTAGGAGGTACGCCCGTAATTCAACCTTCATCCGAGGGCGAAGAGGCTTGGACAATGCAATGCCTCGCAGGCGCCGCAACATTCGCGCCGATGTCAGGTTGCACTCCCAGCTATTTCAATAGTGAAGGTGAGACGGATCAGCTTTCTAAAGAGCAACAATACCTTGCAGCTCGCAAAAGCCATTGGGCGAAAGGAATTGAAGACTATGTACGAGTTCTTGAAGAATGGCAAGCAGATAGCCAGCTTGAAGGCCTCGAGATTTGTAGCAGTCTCGGTTAGTAGTACGAAGTCCTGCTTAGCTCCTCCGCAACTCTTCCGATTTTAGAATCCGATTATTTGATTAGTGGAATCTAAGGCAGAGATAAGAGACAAACAAAAGACAAATAAAAGCTAAGATAAATTAGACTTAAAAGTTAAAAATATAGAATAATTTAAGAAAACTGTAAATATTTAAAATAGTAGTTAGTAAGTATAAATAAAAGTCTTACTATACTATTTTAAAAAGATAATATAAATTAAGTAAATATAACTATTAGACTTTAAATTTAAATTTAGAGTCCTCTATTATACTACTATATAGATATCTATTCTATAGGCTAATCGATCTTATTAATCTAAAGATTTACCTCGCTACTATTATAGTTCTTTTAACGTTCTTCTCGAAGCCTAATTGTCGTATAGCCGAAGACAAGCCGCCCGTGCAGTACACAGTATACCGTCGGAAGTATGTCGTATACGCCTGGGTGCGCCTATCTAGGCGATTCATGACATTCTGCAAGTTCACGCGCAGCCGCCAGGTACAAGCACATTTTACGTCAAGGATAATGGCAATTCCAGGTTGCGAAGGACGTGGCGGGCTTGTACGTCCAGAGATGTTGAGAAGAAGTCAAGGCCTCGACCAATTGCGCCTTCAATCGAATGGCTAGTGGAAGACATCGATGAGACGCGGGGAACGTTGCGGCGTCGTTGCCTATCGTGTATCCTTGCACTATGTACAACCGCTCCCAACTCAGATAACATGAAGCTCAAGCATGGCCGTCATGGTTTGATTCGTGTCGGTTGTCCCAAGATTTTACCCAGATAAGGACAACAAGACCCAACGCCGACCGACCCAGGAGCGCCTCAATCGCTCAATGGTCAGCCTCAACACCCTGCATGCAGGCTATCTGATGAGCCATGCAGCACAGAGATACGGTATATAAGAGACACAAGCTTGGGGTAGCTTTCAGGGCGAGATCACGACTTGACAATGCATCTCTCGGCAGCTCTGCTGTTGCAACCATGATGCCGCAGCTATCCTGACAACCAAACAGACCACATCACGAGATTTTTTTGGAAGCAGATCAATCGACGAACGAACATAACATGCGACAATGAGTCTGGACGAGGAGAAGGAAGTGCCCGTGGAGGCTGGAGATGGCAGTGGAAGCATTACGCTCGAGCAGGGCGAGTCCGCGCTCGCGGTCCTGGGTTACACACAGGAATTGAAGCGGAATAGATCGATGGTCACGTTGCTCTTCCAAAGTCTGGCCATCGCAGCAATCCCATACGGAGAAGGAGGACCACTCATCAGCGCGATCTATGGTGGAGGGCAGCTGTCAATATTTGTGGGCTGGATCGTGGTTCTGATACTGGATGAGTGTATTGCTGTCAGCTTGGGCGAGTTGGCCAGCCGATATCCGACATCTGGCGGTCCGCAGTATTGGGCCTTTCAAGTCGCACCGAAGTTCAAAACTGTCTTCGCATACATCACCGGATGGGTCTGGCTCATTGGCAACTGGACTATCACATTATCTGTCAACTTCGGCTTCGCCAGTCTGATCTCCGGAACGATCGCAATGTATCACCCAGACTTCGTCCTCGATGACTGGCAACTCCTTCTGGTCTTCTACGCCGTGACGCTGCTCACATTCGTCATCTGCTGCTTCTTCAACGACTACTTGCCAATGGTCGACACAGTCTGCGCGGGCTTCACAGTATTGTCCATCCTCATCATCCTGATAGGACTATCAGTAAAAGCTGAAGCCGGTCGCAACTCTGCTGCAGTCGCATTGGGCAACTACGATACGTCGTTCAGTGGCTGGGGAGGCTTCACATTCTTCATCGGCCTGCTGCCAGCAGCATATACATTCAGCGCTCTGGGCATGATTAGTTCCATGGCCGAAGAGTGCCGAGACCCAACCGTCAAGGTTCCTCGTGCCATCAGTCTTTGCATACCTGTTGGAGGCATATGGGGTATTTTCTTCATCTTGCCAATTAACTTCACCATGCCGCCACTTGAGGATGTCATCGGAGCTCCAGCCGGGCAGGCACTGCCGTACATATTTTTCAGAGTCATGGGGTCGCCCGGTGGCGGTCTTGCTCTCATCTTCTTCGTGTTGTGCATCACGGTAGGTCCCCGTCATCCATACATGTAGTTTTCATTGCCCTGATCTGATATGACATGGCAGGTCCTCTGCTCGATCTCAATTACAGTGGCAGCTTCGCGCACAACTTGGGCCTTCGCTCGTGACGATGCAATTCCAGGCGCCAAGCTCTGGGCCAAAGTCGACAAGCGTCTCGATGTCCCTGTCAACGCTCTGATCCTGGTTACCGTCATCCAGATGCTTCTTGGCCTAATCAATCTTGGAAGCACATCTGCCTTCACAGCATTCATCAGCGTTGGTGTCCAAGCTCTCGCTCTGGCTTATGCGATTCCCATCGGACTCTCGCTGTTAACTGGACGCAAGGCAGTCAGTCAAGCGAGGTGGAAACTACAGTATGGATTGGGCCTGGTGTGCAATGTCATTGCACTGGCTTGGATTGCTTTCGAGCTTGTGCTGTTCAGCATGCCGACGGCTCTACCTGTGACGGAAGTGAGCATGAACTATGCGTCGGTCGTGCTGGTTGGTTTCGGAACCATTGCGGCTGCTTGGTACGCGATTCACAGCAGGAAGTCATACAAAGGACCACCAGCCTCTGAGGGCTTAATTGACATTTGAGACGATATTTTTGGAATAAATGCGATACATTCCAGACTGGTGTCGGTTTCATCTCTTCGCGCGATATCTGATCACTCATCATCGAGTCGAGGTCGTGCTCAGATGCGTGATAAGCCTCGTGCCTCGTTTAACAAAAGACTTTATCTTTGTATTACGAATAATTGCCTCCTTGGAATGTATGTTGGATATTGAATATTCAACATTCACTGGTCGGATTCATATTCAGTCCTAAATTCGAGTGAAGATGCATATTGATATTCAATCCATATTTAGTACTATGCATAGTCAAGTCTTTAGGAGAGGCTATAACTTATATCTTTGTCTCTTCCAAAGCTGGAAGTATACTTCTAAAATCAGGCTAGGGCATATATAGGGTATCGGAAGGGGATGCAAGAGGATCTGTTATAACCGGAATACCCTAGCTTCTTGCTAAGGCTAGCTAAAGGGTCTGTATAGGCTCTCTTAGCTGTCTTCGATATCTGAGAGCTTCTTCTAGGTAGGCAAGCCTTCTTCGGAAATGGCTAGGAGGGCTTCTCAGAATAGTTACGAGCCTAAGAAGTAGCCTGTATCCTGCAGCAAAGTGAGCATTCCCTCGGGCAAGGTATAGCTAGTGAATGTATGGGTGTGCCGAATATTCACTGACCTTATATTCATATTTATATTCATTTTTGAATATGAATAGGAGTTGAATCGTATTCAATATTCAATTCAACATCTGTGCTCCTTGGGACCAATAGGTCTTGGCTTGCATTATTCGCTGATAGAGAAATGCAGTGGTATCACAGCCTAGGCATCTGCGTTGCGTGAGCAGAAGAGCCATTTAGGCGAAGAGGGATCGCACAAGCAATTGGGGTTGCTGTAAACTGAATATGAATTGTGATGGGTGATCACTACTTCCTTTCAACAAACACCTCAGCTTCTAGCCTTTGAAATCATCCAAGCATCCCGACATCATCACTTGGAGGAATAGTGGCAAGCTTCCGCAAGATCACAGTCTATGGTGCCGGCGGCGACAATGTTGGTTACTATATCTTGGACACTCTCCTGGCCAACCCGGCTTACGAAGTCGCCGTCATGTCTCGCCAGAGCTCGAAATCAAATTAACCATTAACTGTGAACTACCTGAGTGTCTGAGACAGCCTACCACACGACGAACTGCATGTGGTGAGTGCACTTCGCGGACAAGATATCATGATCTCTGCCGGCGGCTTTTATAACGGTGCCCTTGAGATCGAGTCCAGGTCATCGAGGCTGCTATCGAAGGCGGAGCGAGCGTTAGGAGGCATCGCTTCACAAGGATTAAGCCGCTCGCATTGAGACTGTGAAGGCTCAGATTTTGTTGGAGTATGGGACGGATTATGTGGTGGCAGGGAAGGAGCCTTTGCTCGAGAACTTTGTGGAGATGCCGAAGGTAACTGCCCAGGTATGCAGGATATGGCCAAGACCGTGGTCGAGAAGCTGAAGCTGAAGTGAACCTAAAGAGGTGAAGTGAGGCCCAGCTGCTGCCAGGTAGCGCTAGCTTCACACACATGCAAACAAAACATCATCAAAACGGTAGCCGTTGCCAAGTTCATTTTGAATAACCCCGTTTTGCGCGTACACGCCCTCTCCAAGAAAGTCACACTGGCAACGCAACCAACTTGAAGTCCACGGCTAACCATGAGAACTCGACGCACGAAGACGACCGGCCCCGGCCCCGAGGTGAGCGCTCTTTCATTATGCGCCAAAGTGATGCTAACATGTGGGCCTACAGCCCAGCGCCGCCGAAAGCCCCACGACCCAAGCAGGCAGTCCACAAACAACTCAGGATGGTAGCCCCCAAGTCACCACTAGTGATCCTCAGCATGATGGCGAACATCAGCAGACACCTCCAACCGATGATTCGGCGCCTGCCAAGCACAACATCACGGAGCACCCACCACCCATCTTATGCCAAGACTTCGTGAACGATCTCTTCACGCGATCTTTCGATATGAACACGAGTCTCTTCGCCCAGCAGATCAATGAAGGTAATTTCCCGCTGGCTATGGCTCTTGATATGCTGTTTGGGCACGTGTACGGTGCGCACTGGGCTCTGCGACGCAGGATTGTCTTGAGGATGTCGTAGATCAGACGGTGAGGGTGACTCATCTCTCCCCAGTCAGATGGCGGAGCAGAAGTGTGTTGCTCGAAGTATGCAGAATAACGAGGTTACAGCACAGTGGCCCACGGTTGGCGCCTGCTGTTTCCTGGCCAGCCTAACTCGGAAGAAGGGATGACATTGGACATGTCTCAAATTGAAAAGCTCCTTCGTGGAGCCAAATTCCACGCCAGCCGGTCTGCTTGTGAAGTTCAACGTCTTTCATCGTCTGATATGGTCTGGTGGAGACCAATCACTCTCACGTCTCCTCCCTCAGCCGTCGCTCTTGGCTTGTTCCTCGATATGCTTCAGTAGTCCGTTGCCACAACGAACAACCTGCTCGTATGCAATCTCGAACCCATCTCTGCCTCCGTAATATGGGTCTGCAATCTCTTCTTTCTTATTCTTGCCGCCGAAAACACCATACATGTGTACCTTCTCCAAAGCATCGTCTCCAAGTTGACCCTTCTTCTTTGCCCTCTTCACCATGTCTCTCAGATCAAGGTAGTTGTCCTCGTCCATGGCAAGCAAGTAATCGAATCGTTCGAAGTCCTCCGGGACTTTGACTCTCCTCGCTTTGTGCTTATAGTCAGTCAAGCCATTGTCTTCTAGGACCGAGAGAGTTCGGGAGTCTGGACGGTCGCCTGCATGATATGCTCCTTTGATGGAAGTGTTAGCTCTAGGTCCTCAAGCACAATATCCTACGACCCAACATACCTGTACCGCAGGAGTCGATATCCTTGATCAGTGGATGCTGTTCTGGAGTGCCGAATTTGACTAGATTCCTGAAGCAACCTTCTGCCATTGGTGACCTACAGATATTGCCTAGACAGACAAATAGGACCGATGCTGGCTTGCCTGAGCCGGCACTGGAAGCCATGGTCGGTCTTGCCCAGACGGATATTCGGACGAACCACCGTTTGATCTGTTTCCTGCCTGCTTCGACTCGCAATATGACTTGGCAGTGTGGCAGGAATAGACTGTGGTTGGTGGCGAGGAAGAGTTGTGGGCAAGCTCGGCTTTGCCGATCAGGAAAAGAGTGCCAAGATTCGTCCGATGAGAGTTTCATGGACTGGCGGGGGTTGAGCCGCAGAGCGCACGGCTTTCGCTACTGTATCGAGACTGGCTGTTTTCAAGGCGGCAATATTATGTCATCCTCGCCATTCTTGTGGTGAAGATGTTCTACACTGCGATTAAGCGAGATGGCGGACGGGGGTAATCCCCGTAGACGGCAGCTAGCTTGAAAACGTTAGACGTGAACTTTTTAAAGATACGGATAATTCCTTTAGGCAGTACGCTAGCTTTGACTAGTTAGATCCCGTTTTTAGGGATCACCGCCGTCCGCCATCTCGCTTAATCGCAGTGTATTTGGAGAATTAGCAGCCTCGCGCCGAGCCATCTTATCTTTTCATCCTCGCATCGATGTCATAATTGTGGCGCAAGCTAAGATCTATCCTGGACAGATCTGGAGCCTATCCTCTGCAGGCAAGCTCACCAGGGCACAAGGAACAACGAGCTCCTGTGAAGCTCTACGGTATAGGGCGACACCATCGTCCACAAGTTTGAACAGTTGTTGCACGCTGAGTTGGAGGAAGAATGCAGCAAGCATGGGGGAGGTGTGGTGAAAGCCGTGGCAGATCCGCGGTCTTGTGGATGCAACACGCGTTGCAAGGGCTGAGAGAGAGTTTCATGCACTGCCGCCGCCTGTGCCCTGTGGCCTGCTGTTGACCGCGTAGTCAGCTGCTACATCGCTTCAGCCAGCCAGATAGAAAAGAATACTCATCATTGCTGGCAGGACTCTCCTTCACAAACCTCTTCCGTCATTACTGTGTTGTTCAGAACTGCAAGGACCCGTTCGCTGCTTCAAGAACGACGGCACTCGTTGTCCCTGGTTACAACTTACAAAGTTACTGCTGTGCTGCTGTGCGTCTCCACACGATCTGAAACTCGCGCGGGTGCTCTTTGCCCGCAACGACGCAATCATTGAAGGCGCAGCGCATTTCGGCAGCCTGATTCGACCTTCGCATTATTTGTTCCTTCCCGCGCCGGCGCGTCGCAAACCATCGCATCCGTAGCACAGAAGAGTTTCCGGAGGCACAATCACATTGGAAGAGCAGAGGAATAGTCGCGATGAGCTACAACCCGCTAGGTGCGTCGGATTCATCATCGAAGGGAGAGGTCAGGAAGTGTTCGAGGTGCCCGCATTCCAGTGCAAGCCTTCAGACTTCGACCAAGACGTTGCGCTTGATCGGAAACTCATACTGTGAGAACAGGCGGCTACGGCCACACCGGCAATCCCGACCACCACGAGACCGACCCCAATCACCCTTTCATGGATCGACACAACTCCCCCGATCGCTACCACAGCCCGGCCTACCAGCTCGAGGACCGACCTTACCATGAGCCTCTCGAGATCCCCATGGGCCCAGGGCAATACGCTGCTGCGGCATCAAGTGACAGACTAGCTGCGCAACCAACATATGAAGTCACAAACATGCCTGGCACTTACGGCCACGCTCAGGCGTACGATGATACTCATGCCCATGGCTACACCCCTAATCCGTTCCAGCAGGCTGAACATCAAGGGCGTGGAGAGTACAATCTGAGCCCGCATCCACAAGAGCAGCACGATCAATACTTCCACCAAGGCCCGACTTCTCCTTTCCACGACCCCCAACCTTCGCCGTACGACGCGCCGCAACATCCATACTACCAAGACGAGGCCGACAGCCGGCCGATGCTTCAGCCAGATACCTCGTATGGACCAGACCCGCATCAGATGCATCCAGACTCATCACACACCGATCTTGAAGGTGGTTACAACGAGGCGCCGCCTATCAAAGCCCCCATTCGGAGATGGAAAACGGTGAAGGAAGTGCAGTTGTTCAATGGCAACTTAGTGCTCGATTGCCCAATTCCACCAAGATTATTGAATCAAGTCCAGCACGCCCAGCCACCAGAGAGAGACGAGTTCACACACATGCGATACAGCGCCGCGACTTGCGATCCAAGTCAGTTCTTCAAGAAGCGGTTCACTCTCAGACAACGATTATTCGCAAAGCCGCGACACACTGAGCTATTCATTGTGGTGACAATGTATAACGAGGAAGACGAGCTGTTCGCGAGAACGATGATTGGTGTAATCAAGAACATCGAGTACATGAATTCGCGCACGTCTTCAAAGATGTGGGGCAAGGAAGCTTGGAAGAAGATCGTCGTATGTATTGTTTCAGATGGTCGAGCGAAGATCAATCCGAGAACAAGAGCTGTGCTTGCTGGTATGGGAATCTACCAAGATGGCATTGCGAAGCAGCAAGTCAATGGCGAAGACGTGACAGCTCATATTTACGAGTACACGACGCAGATGACCTTGGAGATCAAGAAGGGCATTGTGCAGGTGAAGAAGGGTAATACGCCTGTGCAGATTTTGTTCTGTCTCAAGGAGAAGAACCAGAAAAAGATCAACTCACACAGGTGGTTCTTCCAGGCCTTTGGTGAAGTACTTCAGCCCAATATCTGCGTTCTCATCGACGCAGGTACTCGACCGGGACGGAGCAGTATCTACGATCTCTGGAAAGCATTTGACCGAGAGCCAATGTGCGCGGGCGCATGTGGTGAGATCAAAGCTATGCTGGAGAAAGGCAAGAACCTGATCAACCCACTCGTCGCCGCCCAAAATTTCGAATATAAGATGAGCAACATCCTCGATAAGCCACTGGAGAGTGCGTTCGGCTTCATCACCGTGCTTCCTGGTGCATTTTCGGCATACAGATTTGTGGCATTGCAGAACGATAAGACCGGCAATGGACCACTCGAGCGCTATTTCGCCGGCGAGAAGATGCACGGCGCCAACGCTGGAATCTTCACAGCCAACATGTACCTTGCCGAAGACAGGATTCTGTGCTGGGAGCTCGTCAGCAAACGCAATTGTTCATGGATCTTGCAGTACGTCAAGTCCGCAACTGGCGAGACTGACGTTCCCACCGAGATGGCCGATTTCATTCTGCAGAGAAGACGATGGCTGAATGGCTCTTTCTTCGCCGCTGTCTATGCTCTTGCCCACTTCTACCAAATCTGGCGTTCACACCACTCAGCCCTTCGAAAGTTCTTCTTCATCATTGAGTTCATCTATCAGGCCGTCAACATGCTGTTTGCTTGGTTTGCCATCGTAAGTGGTTTCCATTTCTCTCGCCTTGAGCATATGCTGACCACTCGCAGGGAAACTTCTTCCTCGTATTCCGCATCCTTACCAGCTCATTATCTGACAAATCACTCCTCGGTACCGCAGGACTGGTCCTCTCCGTGGCCTTCGAATGGTGCTATCTTGCCATCCTGGTTACTTGTTTCGTGCTGGCGCTTGGCAACAGGCCCCAAGGAAGCAACAGGCTCTACATGGCACAAGTCTATTTCTGGGCAATCCTCATGTGTTACCTGCTCTTCGCCTCGGTCTTCATCACGGTCAAGTCGATTCAGGCTCAAATCGCTCAGAATAATGGCTTCAGCTTCGAAATGCTCTTCACCAACAAGCTTTTCTTCACGCTCATCATATCAATGGCCTCGACGTGGGTTCTGTACCTAGTGGCATCAATCCTATTCTTGGATCCCTGGCACATGATCACCTCATTCATTCAATACCTCCTGCTCACGCCGACTTACCTCAACATCCTGAACGTGTATGCTTTTTGCAACACCCACGATATTACTTGGGGTACCAAGGGTGACGACAAGCCGGAGAAGCTTCCTGCTGCCAACCTCAAGCCTGGCGGGAAAGTCGATGTTGCTATACCCACCGACGACGCGGACCTCAACACGCAGTATGAAGAAGAGCTTCGGACCTTCTCGACCAAGTACGAAGTGCCTGCCAAGGTCGTCACGCAAGAGCAAAAGCACGAGGACTATTACAAGGGCTTCCGGTCTACAGTCGTTGTGGGCTGGATGCTGTGTAACCTGGCCCTCGCGGCTGTCGTTCTCAATGCCGGAGGTCTAAACCGTGTCGACGTTGGCGATAAAGACGATGAGACGGAAGCCGAGCGCAGCACGATTTATATGGCAGTTGTGCTCTACTCCGTGGCAGCCTTGGCAGCAGTCAGATTCATTGGTGCTTGTTGGTTCTTGGTTATTCGGGTGTTCCGAGGCGTGTAAATTTGTGTATCGCCACGATTTGATGATCAGATGGCGTTTATGATTGCTTGGAGAGCAATTAGTCTTTTGGTTGAGAGATACCCTCATTGTCGTTGATGAGCGTATTCCACGATTCGACAGTGGTATGTAATGGACAGAAACCTCATGAAGCTTCTCGTTAAGAACGAGCAGATCTTTTCTGTGTCTCATCATGTCTTTCACAGTGGCCTCAAGATAGGAGGCAGAAGCGCAAGGCCGTACTACCGATATGGTTTCGAAGGACCAGATCCTTTTGCAGTAATGTCACACTCGCATCACTGTCAAGCGCTTAGCTGTCAGTTGGGATTAGGCTGAGCGTTGAACAGGATTGCACAGGCAGCTTGCCGTTTTGCAGACAGAGGTGCTCTGTCATGCAGCAGATGCTGGATGCTTTCATCACTGGATAGACCAAATACAGGCAAGAGTTTTGCTTCTGTCTTCGTCTTCTACCCTCTCCTGATGCTGCCTTGAGACGGGCATACAGCAGATGAGAGACTCCAACATCCTACGGAGCACTGGCCGCCATAGGGTGATGGTGATTGACTTCTCGCAGGTTAAACATCCATTCTTGCACAGCGTCCGCTATTGTGTCTGGACCATAGGCCAGCATGGCTTCTCGTCTCCATTCGAAACTTCATGGCAACACTTGAAGTCGTCGTTGACCGGTGAGGCTTCTCGTCACCTCTAGCATCAACTCGCCGTCGCTCTTGCCCTCCGATCTCACCTCAACGGCGCGGAGCTATGACCAGGCTGCAGACCGCCGACGTGCATTCGCGCGCTCAGGGTCCAGCGCAAACACAAAAACATCGACAGCCCACTCTTCCTCTTCCTCTGACCTGCACCCACACTTCCGAACACCGCACAACGCCAGCGCCTTGTTGCACTCGTTGTCCACCGTGAGGATCCCACAGAACGAGCAGTCTTTCGCTTCACCTTCAATCAGTACGTATGACTGACGCCGCCGCTACATCACCTTCGTTGACTGACCGCGCTCGAGACAGGCACTATTCCAAGTACACCTTCGTCGTCATATCCAACAACAGCGACATTCACCATGGGCACCTCTACTTGGGACAGTGCTCCTGCTGGTATGTGGTGCACCTTCGCCCATCACGCGCACGTGGTTGACACAAACGCAGATTCTATCGACAATACCTGGAAGACCGATACCGGTGCTGGCGGCGATGCTGGTGGCTGGCAGGCCGATGGTGACACCGGTGGCGACAACTGGAACAGCGGCTTTTCCGCCGACAACGTGTCCAAGCACGCCGACACGCCTCACGATGGCGGCTGCCGCAAGTAAGTCATCTTTCCATCATTAATCCGGCTCGTCCAAGCACACTGGCTAACTTCTCTCAGCTGTGGAGACGAGGGTCATTTCGCGCGCGACTGCCCAGAGCCACGCAAGGATGGTGGCGGCCTGACCGGCGAGTGCTTCAAGTGAGTTACATGCTTCCGATACGCTCAAGGTAGACTGTCATTGCTAACGCCCACCTTCAGCTGCGGAGAGGTTGGCCACAACAAAGCCGACTGCACCAACCCACGCGTCGAGCGTGAGTTCACCGGTACCTGCAACGGTTGCGGCGCGCAAGGTCACCGCAAGGCCGAGTGTCCAGTGGCCCCTCCGCGTCGCTGCAAAGTCTGTCATCAGGATGGGCATGTCACTAGTGAGTGCAGTGCCAACCGGATGCACGAGATGTTCAAGGCGTTGGGTATTCAGGACATCTCTCCAGAGGAGGCGTGGGCCGCTCTCGAGGCTGCTGATAAGGAGAAGGATGTCGATGACATCAAGAACGTGCGCACACTTGTTATTTTCCCATTGATTCGATCCGTGCTGACTATGCTCTTTAGGCGATCTTCGCCTACACCAAGGCATATCCGGCTCTCACTTTCGAAGATCTGGAGCAGACTTTCCGTGACGCTAGCATGAACACCTTCATCATCGCGAAGGAGCAGACAATCGCCGACACCCATACGATTGTCAATCTGCAGGGCAAATCCGGGATGAAATATGTCGTCTCCTATCAATTCTCAGACAAGCCAAAGCGCGCCAAGTTCGCTGAGGGCTGGCCAGCTTCCAAGGAGGATAACCGCATTCGTCTTGCTGAGGCTGGTGTCGTGATGGATGGTCTGGTTCCGAAATGTTCCAACTGCCAACAGCTAGGCCATATCGCCAAGAATTGCGAGCAAGAGAAGCAGGAGCCTGCTGGAAAGGTTGTGATCACGTGTGCCGTGTGCAACGCGGAAGGCCATCGTGCTCGCGATTGCACGCAGGAGCGCAAGTCTGACAAGCGCGGTTGTAAGAATTGCGGCTCGGAGGATCACATGGTCAAGGAGTGCCCAACCAAGGCCCCAGATGTTTGCCGCAACTGTGTGAGTACCCTCATCATGGGCGTTTCGCAAGAGCCATTGCTAATCATAACTTTAGGGCGAGGAGGGTCATCGTAAGACCGAGTGCACGAACGAGCGCCAGATGCAGTGCCGTAACTGCGACAAGTGTAGGTTCTGGATCTTTATCGTTATCTCCTTTGACATCGCTAACACTCTCCAGGGGGCCATGCCAGCCGTGATTGTCCAGAGCCCAAGAACATGGACAAGGTCCAGTGCCGCAAGTGAGTCTTCCTCCATCCTGACCTGATCACCTGTATACTGATTCCTTTCCAGCTGCGACGAGTTTGGTCACAACAGCCGCGACTGCCCACAGCCGACCGATTGGTCCCGCGTGGAGTGCAGCAAGTAAGTCTCTGCCCACTAATTTTCCATACGTACGATGCTAACAAACTTCAGCTGCCACGAGAAGGGCCACACTTACAAGCGCTGCACCAAGCCTGCTGGCAAGGAGGACTCTGGTGCTGGCGGCGATGGTGGTTGGGGTGGAGATGATGCCGGCGCTTCTAGCGGTGGCAATGGCGGTGGCTGGGAGCAGAACGCTGCTCCAGCTGCTTCCTCTGGTGGTTGGTAGATTGGTTCGTCGAGAGATATTGCATAAATGGGCACCGCGCTGGTGCTATGGGATGTTGCATGAAAGCATGTGGCCGAGACCGCCATGGGCAGAAGATAGCAGTGCCTGAACGAGTACTGCTGACCACATTCTCCTCTCTATTCTGCCATTCTCAAGTCGAAATATGCCATACCGCCGACAATTGCTCCAGTTCCAGCCATGAAGTCATGCGCACTTGGTGACAAATACAAATTTCCAAGCGTTTCATCAGTTCGAAGGGTCTGATGCGAGGCGGCATTTCATCGTGTCTTTCCACGAGGGTTGATGACTCGACTCCTTCAATACACAAAAGCTCTGTGCAGCAATTCGAATCTATACGCGCTGGTGCTGTGCGATGACGCTCCGTCAATCCTGTGAGCTACGGGCCTCCTCTTCTCGCATTTCAAGGCATTGCTCAAAACAGAGCAAGAGATGTATGGTTGGTGTCCGAGTAGGCAGGGAAGGCAGTTCGAGTCGTCCATGTGAATACTTGAGACCTCGTTTCCTATTATTAGCATCTTGGCTCCAGAAATCTGGGTTCATCAGCTCTGTCGAGATTGGGCTTAACGACCCTGATGGGACTGCCTGCTATGGAGCAGCGATGCCTGAAAGCAGTGAACAGCTCGCACTTCCCATCCTCTTGTTTCCAACTCTTGACGAAGACTTTGCTCGTCATTATCCAAGCACTCTATTTCGTGCTAAGTCTCTCCCACGAGCGAGAGCTTTGGTGAAATCTCGGCCTTTCATCACCTCCTGCATTCCGTAGGGGCCAAACTGCTGCCACGCTCACCAGTTCGCAGACAGGTATAGCAGCAATGGATGTCATTGTGAAGACCTTTCGATCGGTGTCTTGGCTCACACTTCCGGATCATATCACAACAACATCATCGCCAAAGATCTTGGCCACCAACTATGCCAGCCCTTCCAGAGCCATTGTACATGTCGATCCGCCACATGTTCTCTCCAGGATGTCGCTCGTCTGGGTAAGCGGCAGACATTCAGCCCAAGATCGCCCTTGCTGCATTGCCGGATGTCGGTTTATACCTTTTTGGAACACCGCAGGATGATCTGAAGCTTCTCACTCTCTTCTCTTGCGTGAACGGTGGTTGGTAGATCTACCTCGAAGGCTGACGAGCTGGATAGTGCAGGATTGGCACAAGAGCACGGCAGATTTTGGTCATGATCGCCTAAATTCGCTCATCCTCTACCCTCGGGATATGCACGTCCACATCAGACGATTGATCCATCTCCTGCGAAACTCGCTATGCCCGTCGCCGTCTCTTCCGACTCTCGATGCCGCGCGTCGAGACTCATATGATATTGCCGCCGAAGTCGTAGTGGATACACAGCGTACCGTAACGAGCTGATGTCCAGAATGAGTCCACATCCGCCCAGGATGTCGCTACACTGGAGTCGGATCGTGGAGCGCCATAGGAGACATATGGATCCCTATACGTCAGTCGGCCTGGGTTCTTCTCGAGTGCAAGGATCGCAGAGCCGCTAGTGTCCAACTTTACTGCGACTTGAGGAGAGCCTTCGGTCTTCAATCATTCGACATTGAAGCATCGTCGGAGTCGAACAAACAGCCAAGAAGCCTTATAGAGTGGAGCAGAATGCAGCGTAGCGACGACGATAGTTGCACCGCGAATTCAACGGTCTCCAGACGACAGATTCCTTGGAGAAAGGATTTCGCAGCGGATTGTGAAGTGCTGAGCTGCTCGGAACTCCGAAAGAGGAAATCCGCGCATCGATATGATTGATATGCGAGACGTGCAGTGGACCCGTTGAAGATATATTCGTTTCCTTCAGCTTGTCGGCATGTTAAGCACGCGAGCAAGGACACCTTGATACCCATGGGGCGCTCGGATCTCCTTCATAAACCTTCAAGGCTTGATCATCTTTGAGGCGTATTATCTTTTCGTGGAATTTGTCTTGAGCCTCTTGTCTTGCTTGACTTGATCAATTCCCATCCGGCTGCTTAACACCGTCGAGAGACAGGTCTTTACGATGGTTGGGATGAAACGATTCTATGGCCTTCGAGGCACAAGGCTCAATGTTGCGATCGGTATAATCGCCGGTCTTGACTTCTTGCTGTGAGCAATACCTCTCTGATGGCACCTGGAGAAGATGAAATGAGCGACTGACTTGGATCTCAGATTCGGTTATGACCAAGGTGTGATGGGAGGCCTTCTCACACTCCCATCTTTTACCAGAGTTTTCCCAGAGATCAACACTATCGGCGAGTCTGGCAACAGCCCCAAGTCCACAACTCAAGGCATTACCATCGGCAGCTATAATCTTGGATGTTTCGCAGGAGCCATTGTCTGCATATGGCTTGGTCAATTCTTAGGTCGACGTCGCACAATCTTCGCTGGATCAGCTATCATGGTGGTTGGGGCCGCTATCCAGTGCTCTGCTTTTGGTCTGGCTCAGCTTGTCGTTGGTCGTGTCATTACTGGCGTCGGCAATGGTCTCAACACTTCCACCGTTCCTACCTGGCAATCGGAGACGACCAAGTCGCACAGAAGAGGTCAGATGGTTATGATCGAAGGAGCATTGATCTCTGGAGGTATCATGCTTTCGTACTGGATCGATTTCGGCTTTTCCTTCATCGACGGCGCAATCGCATGGCGATTCCCCATCGGCTTCCAGATCTTCTTCGCTCTCATTATCCTCTGCTTGATTCTTGGATTGCCTGAATCACCTCGATGGTTGATCTTGAAGGGACGCGAGGACGAGGCTGTTACCGTTCTCGCAGCGCTCAGCAATTTAGAGCCTGAGGACGAGTACATCCAGAGTGAATTCGTAGCTATCAAGGAAACAGTCATCGAGATGAGCCAAGGATCGTTCAAGGACGTCTTTACCATGGGCAAGGACCGCAACTTCCATCGCGCTCTGCTCGGATACGTCAACCAAATGTGTAAGTACTTTTCGATTCATGAATTGACTCAGACCTGCTGACGATGATTAAATGCAGTCCAGCAGATCTCCGGTATCAACGTAAGTACTTTCGAGCGTGTAAGTTGTCGATGAAGAAATGCTGATGATACGACAGCTGATCACATACTACGCCGCAACCATCTACGAACAAGAGATTGGTCTTTCTGGGTTCCTCTCCCGTATTCTTGCCGCTGCTAACGGGACGGAGTACTTCCTGGCATCTTGGATTGCGGTTTTCACGGTCGAGAAGATCGGTCGCCGCCCACTCATGCTTTTCGGCGCTGTGGGCATGTCGCTCTCCATGGTCGTCCTGGCTGCAGTCACATCGGTAGGCGGCACTGGACCTGGAATCGTTGCGGCTGTGTTCCTCTTCGTCTTCAACACATTCTTCGCCATTGGATGGCTTGGAATGACCTGGTTGTATCCATCGGAAATCGTACCCCTCCGCATTCGTGCTCCATCCTCTGCTCTGTCGACGTCAGCCAACTGGATTTTCAACTTCATGGTGGTGATGATCACACCGATTGCTTTTGCCAATATCGTAAGTCATTCCAAAAAGCGGCATTTACCTTCGCTAATCCCCCCCTCCCAGAAATATCAAACCTACATCATCTTCGCCGTCATCAACGCCTTCATCGTCCCATGCGTCTACTTCTTCTACCCAGAAACCGCATACCGATCTCTCGAAGAAATGGACGAGATCTTCCACAAATCCAACATGTCCACAAACGCCTGGTTCGATGTTGTCAAGATCGCAAAGCCGAAGAATACTCCTAATCGATACGACAAGAACGGTCAACTTCTTATCAACTATCTCGATACCGAAGAGCATCGCAGGCGAAGCAGCGTTGTGGCACCTGGTGCTAAGGGTATCAATGACGTTGAGAATAAGGATCGTTCGAGCCATAATGAGGCTTATGCGACTGATGGTGGATTTGCTGGTGGCAGTGGTAGCGAGAAGAGTCTGTAAAGTTGTAGGAGGAGCATGAGCATGTGAAAGTCTTATATATTGATACCCGTGCTGTAGAGAAAAGCAATTACGCTGTAGAGAGAAGCAATTACAAATAGAACTGAAGGTCCTAAAACTGCTTTCATGTTGCTTTCATATAACGTACACGTACATACAGCGAAAGTCCTGTCCACCATCGTCGACCATCACAACTTTACATCCTGATCCATTCGCCTACCAAGAGAACAGAGCTCCATCAGTCTCCCATTCCATCATAAGTCGTAAGTAACGAACGAGTCAAAATTACCCTGACTTCGCCTTCGGCCAAACCTCAGCTATAAAACTCTCCATGTCGGAAACGAACAATTCAGGTTTCTCCATAGCTGAAATAACACACCAAAAGTCAGCATAACAAATCTCTTTCAGATGGTGCAAATAGAGAAAAAACTCACCAGCAAAATGCCCCCCAGAATCATGCTCCTTATACCAAACCAAATTCCCCGTCTCCTTCACCCAAGCCTTAGGAACCGGAGCCAACTCCTCCGGATGCCAAGAATACCCCAGAGGCTTCTTGATATACCAAGCCGGATCATTATGGAAGAAAGTAGGATTCGCACCGAAAAACTGTCGATAAGGGAAAATGGCTCGAGGGAAAGATTGTGTGAACCAATATAACGTCGCACCGTCGAGCATCTGATCCATAGGAGGAGTTTCATCGGACCATTGCTGGAATTTTTCCCCGATCCATGCGAGCAAGGAAATTGGGGAGGCGGATAGGACGAGACCGATTGTAGCGGGACGAGTACCGTGGTGACGAGCATATGCGTTTCCGAGAGTTGCGAATTCGTTGCATCGTTCTACGCCTTTCTTTTCTTTGGCCGAAAGACCGGATTCGTCGCCGGTTTGGCCGATGCAGAGGTGGAGATGGGCGGCTTTGCAGGCTGGGGACGTGACGGCTATGATGCGGGTGAGGAAGGACCCGATGTCACCTCCTTGGGCGATGTAGCCGTCTCCGAAGCCGAGCCCGATCATGAATCTGTCGAGAACTGCGGCAATATCTTCGGTTGTGGTATTGCGGTCGAGAGGTGGGCCGTTGGTGTAGCCGTAGCCTGGGAGGGATGGGGTGATGATGTGGAAGGGAAGGTCATCTTCGCTGTATTTCTTGCGGAGGAGGTCGAGGGTGTCGATGAATTCTAGGATGCTACCTGGCCAGCCGTGGAAGACGAGAAGAGGGACTGCATCTGGATTCTTCGAAAAGAGGGCGAGAAATTGGATGTTGTATGTGAAGCCGCGGTCTTCGACCTCGGTGACGAAGTTAGGGAAGGAGTTGATGCGGGCTTCTGTCTTGCGCCAGTCGTAACCATTCTCCCATCGCTGCTTAGCCTCGCTCAGCCATTTGTGTGTGATACCGAAGTGGAGGTAGTCTTTGACGTTCGCGACCTGGTTCTCGTAGGTCTGGACAGTTCGTTAGAGAGAGATGTAAGAATGGCATTGAGCAGAACTCGCTTTTGGTCCAATCTTGGACAGCTTCAACAATTGCTTGAAGTCATTGAGGTCTTCGTCTGAAACATGAGCCTTGAATGGCTTAATATTCAGCGTAGCTTTGCTTGGAATGGAATCGAAAGGCATGCTGTGCTTTGTGTCTTCAGAGCTCTTCGTTCAGTGGTCTCAGAAAATGGATGAGCAGTGAGGAGAGGCGGAGATGACGGCTAAGTAGGAGGAGCTGTCGTTGCGGAGTCTCCACAGTCTGCCATAACTTTGTTCTTCATGATGTTCCAGCCCATCCCCTCGTCACGAAGATCACATCTTTACATCCACTCGATGTATGGCGAGGCAAGGCAGCTATGGCGTAGCTGTTGTTGCGTCTACTGAGGGGAGCGCCATGACCTAGCTGCCTAAACTTTATAAGATCTTCAACGCCCTCCGTGTTTTACCGAATCGCGCGCGCGACGCCAAGCTTTCCGAAGTCGGCCAATCTGGAAGGTGTACCGCAATACCGCGGGCGTGACTATTCATAAACCTGCCCTGGTTATATGTAAACCCGCCCTCCGGCAACGGAGGAGCCTAAGGCAAATTAGTTAGTAATACCTCACCAATTCTACCTCCGTCTTCTCTGCTATAGGATTCTCGCCTTACCTTACTATCGCTAACACCTTATTGCCGCTAATACCTTATTATCGCTAGCACCTTATTGTCGCCGCTATGTCGAGCCCTTCTACGCAGTTATAGGCTAATACTGCCGCCGCCGCCGCCGCCGCCGCCGCCGCCGCCGATAAAGAATATACTAATACCTCGCTCTTTAATAATAAAAAGCGCTAGTTAAGGGACCTACGCTAGGGCTTCGCTCTACCGCCGTAAGAAGGCGATAAAGGAGGTTTAAAGCTATAGGTAGAGTTGCTATACGGTAGCCGTAGCCTAATGTCGACGGAATACCTTTATAGTATAGATCGGCGGTATTTAGATAATATTATTATAGATTAGAGGTCTAATACGGCGTAGTAGGCAAGGGATAATTATGTCCGCCTTACGACGTATAAAATAGAGGCTAGATACGACGGACTCGACCCCTAGTTATATAAAGAGCTAGATAAGGAGTTTATAGTATCTAAGGACCTAGTACTGCCGTTTCTCGATAAGATAATAGTATAGCACGCTACTAGGTATACTACTGTACGCTTTACGCTTCGTGCGGTCGGTAAGGCGGCTAGTCCTAGATAGGGCGGCGCTAGTGCTAAGAGTGTTATAACTAGTGTTAGTAATAGTAGTAGTAGTAGTATTATAGTCGGCGGCAGCGGGGTTAGTTAGTAAGAATAACTTCCTCCCTTAGAAATCGAGACTGCCTCTTAACCTGCGTATATCTTTAGTAACAACGACGAATATAGTAACTAGTCTAAGTCGGAAACAGAAGAATACTAAGCAGGCTCGTTTGCTACTATCGAGAACCCCGAAAACCGTATGTTTAACAGCATTATAGCCGCCGAGGAATACGTAGAAACCTTCGCTTTAGAGAAGGGCTTTAAGACGAAGAAGATAGGCTATAAGCTTAATAAGGACAACGTACTCTAGCGGATAATACGCCGCTACGCGCGGTATTTAACACCTACAATGCGGAAAGCAATAAAAGACAAACGAGAGGCACGGCGGCAGCTTAATCTAACAGCAAAGACACGAGAAGGTTACTCTAAGCTATACGATTGCTTATAGTCTATAACCCTCGCTGCTAAGGATTGGCATAATCCGGACGATAGCTACTAGTCTGTCTTATAGAATAGCTCTAACTATAACTATCTAGCAGTCTATCCGATAGCACTAGCTAACTACCGCCGAAGAGCTCGTACGATAGAGATTGTCGAGGCTATATTATAGTTGAGGTCTATAGGCGTTAGCAATCGACAGATTAAGGCCGCTATTAAGCTCCGTTTTAGTAGTAGAGACTAGCAATCGCCTATTATACCTACTACTTTACGAGACATCTCAAATGCCTAGCAAAAGGCTAAGAAGTTGCGACTCGCTAGCAAGTTAGTAGTCGATAAGACGATTAAGGACCTCCTATAATAGAACTACTTCGTACGGAAGGGTATTAGTACTAGACTAAGCGGTAAGTAACGGCTAGAATAGCTATATTTCTCGCACCCTAAGATAATTAACATCTATAAGAATTGTCCGGATATTATAGTTATAGATTACACCTACAAAACTAACGAATATAGTATGCTATTGCTTATAATTGCCTTACTCAATTAGTTCAACTAAACCTTCCCTCTAGTACTAGTTTTTATACCTAGATAGGCGACTAAGCAGTATTTAATTGCTATTTAGTGCACGCAGGAGTTGTTAGCAGAATACACCTATAAAGAGCCTCGCCTTATAATCCATAACCGTAACAAGGCACTAATAAAGGCGCTAGCAAGCGACTAGACTTATTTATATATATAGCTCTGCCGCTAGTATATTAGACGCGCAGTAGAGGCTAATTCGAAGGCCTTCCTTAGTACTAGACCGCCGGATCCAACTATAAGGCGTAGGCTATTAAGTATAGCCGTACAGGACTTTATAGACCTATTTGATAAGGCTATCAACTTACCGTCGGTTAAGTCGTTTATAACTAACTCGAAGGCCCTCGAGAACGGCAAGATTGCCGCTAGTAAAGGCGAGCCTACACGCGACTACTCGGACAATAAAGACTAGCAATCGCTAGCTAGCTATATAGCTAATATATAGTAGGTCTATCGACAACACTATATTAAATACTAGATTAATAGGACGCGGTATTATAGCAATATAACAACCTCGCTAGTAGAAGGTTGTTACGCTAGTATTAAGGCATAGTTAACGACCTATAAGAACGATATCTATAGCTTTATTAATAGGATAGTGCCCTACTTCTAGCACTAAGTTGACCGCTATAGGCTTATAGTTAGAGCCGAGATTAGTTAACCTACTATACTGTTCTTAAGCGATCTATTCTACGCTGAAGTTGTTAGCTATATTAGTACCTTCGCTCTACGTAAAGTAGCCGAGCGAAGGGCTCTCGTATACGCCGAGCTCGAGAAGCGGAAGTCTAATAGTTATAGGCTATTAGATTGTACCTAGTATTATCGAAGGGTCTATAGCTTGAATTGTATATACTAGATACTAGCCCTTAAGGAGTCTGTAACCGGTATTCTTACTATTCGTATATTCGAGAAGCACTAGCGAGTGCTACGGAGCGATTATAATAGTAACGAGACAACTACTTACCGTACCTTAGAGCTACTTAAGCGGATTAATAAGCGGCTTAGTCGTACGACTCGGCGTAAGGCTACTAGACCTAAGCTAATTAAATAGGCCGCTAGACAGGCCGCTATTAACTAGTAAGAAGCGATAAGACAGGCCGAGCCTAGGAGGCCTATTCTACCGCTACTAGCACTACGAAAACGTTTACGCAAGGGCTGCATATATAAAACGGCCTACAGGAGGTGCAAGTGCGTTAAAGATAACGTAGACTGCTACTCTAGCTGTTATAAGCATAGGCAGTGCGATAGAAACCCTATATCTACTTATTTACCTACTTAGGAAGGACCTCCGCCCGCTCCGAGGGCTCTACTAGTACCTACAGCGCTAGTAGTAATGCTAGAATATACTGAGATCGTATAGCAGGAGCTATACGTTAATACGAGGGTCGTAGAACCTTATTTGCTAGGCAGGCAGTATGCCTAGAACAGTTAGGATTAGCTATATTGTCTAGTTCTATGTCTATTATTCACTTAGTTCCTCTTTCTTACGTTATAATTCTACTTAGCGCTAACGAGAGCACTAGAGGCCTCTGTTGCGATATTCTATAGTGTGGATTACTAGCAATATGGTCTCACCGAGGCCGGAGCCGGCTCTCGGTCCGCGGTCTACGAATAACCAGGGCAGGTTTATGAATAGTCACGCCCCAATACCGCAGCCCCAATCTGTCATGTTCTGCACCGCTTGCACCTGCCCGCCTCGCGATTCCAAGCTATACATCAGAGTCGTCGCTTCCGCAGTCGTCTTCTTCAGCCTCGCCTTCCACCAGGGGCACAACCCGATAGTCGACGAACGCAACCCCATCACCATGACCAGAGTCTATCTCGATCAGGTACTGCATGTTGAGTACGCCGTCTTCATCGAGTCGCAACGAGACCTTGCTTGCTGAAGCCATTGCCCGCTGGGCTGCCTTGATCAAGCTGAACTTGAAGCTCGCGCTTGTCTTCGCTGGGCAGTGGAACGTCTCGAGAATTGGAGTATCGGAATCCGTGTGCGTGGTCAAGTCCACAGTCGCGGAACCCAGTGCTCCAGTAGCTGTGAGTGAGAGATTTGCGGAACGTGAATTGGGTGATGCTTGGATCGTCAGATCAGTCGGGCTCATAGAGCTGAGTTCAGTGATGGCCTCAAGCATGCAGCTGGAAGGCATGATGGTCTTGAGAGACAGGCTGTCGCGGTTGAATGGTATTTCCTCATTCGTGTCTGCTTCGTATGTGGTAAGGTCGCATGTTGTAGTCACCCCAGCTTCGGACATGTGGATGCCAAGGGCACTCCCTTCGCCATTGTAAGTGATGGTGCAGATGCCCGTCACTCCAAGGGCGTGATTGCTGAAGGCATTGATTCCTGCGTGGCGGCTGAGACGATGCGCGGCGAACGAATCGTATTCGCCTGGTCGCTTGGAAGTGCTCGGATCTGATATACTGAAGATGTTGAGAGTTTCGAGAAGGGAAATCAGGTTCACTTCGAAGATGGGAGGATCAGGGACATCGTCTTGAGATGAGGGGGCAGCAGGTGGATTGTAGGAGTAAGAGGTAAAAAGCGCTTTTTCCAAGAAAACGAAAGCTTCCATGACACTGCCTTCCTCAGTGCTAAAGCGGAGACCTTCGGCAGAGACACGAACATGCGCGTTTTTCGCAAATGAAATGCAGCGCAGAAGAAGCAAGATTTGGCGTGCAGACGACGAGACAGCAGTGAAACGAGGCGAGTGAGAAGCCATGATGTGATGATGCAGAGCTTAGCACTTGCTCTTACTAGAGGTATCCTTTCTCCTGGTATAGCTTCAGGCACAGGTTTGCCTATGAAATGACGTTGGTGGGCTGATAGCTCTTCTGCAGCGTGCGTGCGATGTATAGTGTGATAGTGAACGCCACCAAAAAGGCAGTCAGACTCCAGACCAAGATGAATAGCGTTGATCTGACCGGATGGAACTTGGGCTTGCGTGGTGCGCTTGTTGACTTGTGTGAGGCGCGCCGCGGTCGATAGAGCTGGTAGGTCTCGTACGAGTTGGTGGATCGGCGAAGGCCTGGATGTCGGAGTCGCGAGTCTTTATACATAGACACCCGTTGCGCAGATCATATATACCGCACCGAAGCTGAAATCGTCAGAACTGGTATGGCAAGCACAGCAGGCAGACAGTGAACTCACCCGAATGCTAGAGAAGCCGGGACAGCAAGGGTTGGAAGGTTCTTGGCGGAGAGGTCTGATGACATGTCAGCGCACTAGAAGTGAAGTGAATGAATAGTGTGCGCTGCATACTAAGACCGAACAAGCTGGAGAGCACGAAGCCTGCGAGCAGCAGGACGAAGCCGACGAGGAATTGAGCGTCTTTGCCGACGTTGGGGATGAAGGGCTGCTTGGCCGATGCCTCCCAGATGGCGTGGAGTGGTTGCTGTGCAGACATTTGGTGTTTTTGGCGGCGGTGATGGATTCGTCCGTAGCTGTTGGAGCTTGCTCCTGGAAATCTGGACAGTTGGAAGTATCCCTGCCACCTGCGCGACTGCCCTGCCAAGCTTGACGCTTCGTCGCTTCACATGCGCCGCGGCCGGACCCGCCTCCGACTCCGCCTCCGCCTTCGCATCGCGACTTAAGATCTACCTACAACTTCGTTTCGTGCAACAACAACTCCACCGCCCTTTGCGCACATTGCTTCGCTACATCGCTTCCACAGTATGGCGGCAGCGAAGGAGGAGAAGCGCAAGGCCGAGGGCTCGATTAACGGTCACGACTCGAAGCGCATCAAGCCATCACTCTCGCCTCCGCCCAACGACGACGACGAGCATGTGCCCACCATCAACCACGCCGCATACCCCGAGAAGCCGGCGGTCATCGAAGAGCGTAACGGCGACATCTCCTTCTACGTCGTCAATAACGACAACAAACCTTCCTCTTTCATCATCCTCACAGGCCTAAAATGCATCTTCCAGAAGCAGCTGCCAAAGATGCCCAAGGACTACATTGCCCGATTAGTCTACGACAGAACACATATGAGCATAGCTATCGTCAAGCGACCCCCACCTGGCAGTTTGGCAGAAAGCTCTGGACTTCCCGGTGAAGTGGTCGGCGGCATCACATACCGCCCGTTTAAAGGCAGGCAGTTTGCTGAGATCGTCTTTTGTGCTATCAGCAGCGATCAGCAAGTCAAGGGATATGGAGCGCATTTGATGAACCATTTGAAGGACTACGTCAAAGCCACGAGCGATGTCATGCATTTTCTCACCTATGCCGACAACTACGCCATCGGCTACTTTAAGAAACAGGGCTTCACGAAAGAGATTACGCTCGACAGACCGAAGTGGATGGGATACATCAAAGACTACGAGGGCGGTACAATAATGCAATGTTCGATGCTTCCCAAAGTGAGATATCTGGAGTCCGGCAGGATGCTGCTGAAGCAGAAAGCAGCTGTCCATGCCAAGATTCGCGCTGTCTCCAAGAGCTACGAAATACATCAGCCGCCGGCAGCGTGGAGGAAGGCGAAACCAGGTCAGCCACTCCCTGAGATCGATCCTCTCGAGATCTCGGCAATCAAAGCGACTGGATGGTCAGCAGACATGGACGCGCTCGCCCAAATGCCTCGCCGCAATCCCGCTCACAGTCTTCTCGTCACGCTTCTCTCGGCATTGCAAAGCAGCTCTGCCGCATGGCCATTCCTCATACCCGTCAATGGTGACGAAGTCCACGACTATTATGAAGTCATCAAAGAGCCCATGGATTTCAGCACCATGGAGAAGAAGCTTGAAGGAGATCAGTACGAGACGGTAGAAGACTTTATCAAAGACACTCTGCTCATCGTCCGAAACTGCAAGCGATATAATGCGGAAACAACTCCTTATGCAAAGGCTGCGAACAAGCTTGAAAAGGAAATGTGGAAGAAGGTCCGCGAGATTCCCGAGTGGTCGTACCTTGAACCAGAAAACTTTGAGAGTACGAATCGACCGGCTGAATAGAATCCGCCGCCAAAAGGTATCTCTGGCAGACCCATCTAATTCACTCTCTAATGTTCAAGCGTCTACTGATGCTAACATGACTCAGCCAAACGGGGACGAGCAAGGCCGAAGAACCCGGATGCCAAATTGAGAAGGACGCTTGGTCGACGAAGACTTTCACCTTCACGCAGCGTACCAGGACCTTCCCACCCCAAAACCGAGACACCGCCGAGCATAACTACAGAAACAGCTGTGACATGTCCGGGTAGAGTTGTTGGTCTGCAGCATGAGAGGATGCTTAGATCTCAGCACAACATACTTGAATGGAGCAAGGAGATCAGCAAGAGCCCTGTAGTCAGCCGTGGACGAATGATGTCTCTGGAAAAGCCGCCGCAACCGAAAAGGATGCTGCGGTCGAACGACACAGTACTTGATTGGAGCAAGGAGATGAAGAAAAGCCCATTAGGTGCTCGTCAACGAAATCTGTCCCCGCATGAGAAATCGACGGTGCCACATTTGGGCGAGGCAGACGCGGCGGACCTCGAGGGCTACGCACAATACCGTCAGCCTCGTATGCGCCTTTCAGAGCCTCTTGGGGGAGAGTACACTGAACTTGACGAGTTTATGCGCTTCATGAACCCGCCGTGACTGATCTTGTATTGCGAGCAGGCCTTCGTGCTCCGCCTCATTCATCACGATCATGCTGCCCAGTTGTAGGACCGCCATAGCAAGCTACGCTTAATGAAGGAAATGACCTTGCCGACTCCCGTAGCTCCCAGCTTCCCAAATGCCCCACTCGTGCCTGCCAAGCTTACTAGCCCTCGCAGCTTCACCTCATAGAAACAGACTCGTTTGCAAAATCAGCAACTTGCAACTCATCACTGCTCTGCCCAGACCGAGCCATCTTCAGTTCTCAACAATGTCGAAAGAGATTATCTTCTACGACCTTCCAAGTCGAGGCAGTAAGCCCACTGCCTGGTCTCTCAATCCTTGGAAAAGTATCTTACAACTCATCGCACTTGAAACGGAGATAGTTGCTCACATACACGACAGCACGACTCGTACTCAACTACAAAAACATCCACTACAAAACCCAATGGGTCGAGTACCCAGACATCGCAACAACTTTCAAATCCCTCAACATTCCACCCAACGACCCTGCACTCAACCCTAACGCAGCCTACTCAATCCCCGCCATAGCACTCCCAGACGGCAGACACATCATGGATTCCCTCGCCATAGCCCACGAGCTCGAGAACCTCTACCCATCACCACCTCTCACCTTCGACAAAGCAGATCAAATGCAATCCGCAGTCCTAAAAGTCAACAAAGCTCTTGCACCAATCATAATTCCTCGTGTCCCGGAACTTATATTGAATGATTCTAGTAAAGAATACTTTTTGACGACTCGAGCTAAGAGGTTTGGTATGCCTCTACCTGAACTTGCAAAGACGGCTGATGTGGAAAAATGTTGGGAGGGTGCGAAGGAGGGTTTACGTGAGATTTCGGCTTTGCTGAATGGGACGCATGATGGGGGGAGTTTCGTGCTGGGTGGTGATCAGGAGCCTGGATTTGCGGATTTTGTGCTTGCGGGTTTTTGGAGGTTTTGCGAGAGGGTTGATGTTGATGGGGATTTGTGGGCGAGGTTGAAGGGTTTTGATGGGAAGTTTGGGAGGCATAGGAGTGCTGTGGCGAAGTGGTTGGAGAGGGACGACTGAGTGCTTGATGTGCTTACCACTGGCTGCGTTGTTATTTGCGAAGCTTCAAAAAATGCTAAGCGACCTTATGCAAGTCAGTGAAGGCCCTGGACTGAGCGCAGTTACTCTGAGGCAGAGGTGGAGGATTGAGATGAGAGTGGATGCTGGGAAAGGTCGATGAATGATGCCGAGTTCTCAAGGTCCTCGCTCATCAAGGGCTGTGATGCTTTCGACTGTCGTCATTATACAGGATCGTATGCTGATGCATGTCAATCGTTATCCAAATGCCGCTTGCTAGGCTTTATGAGAGAGAGCCAACTCATTTTCCCACTCGGTTTCTTCTTCTTCCACGGTTCAAGCTATGACCCAGTCAGCCTTTTTGTCTATTTATTCAGTGTTTGGACACAGACCCTTGCTAACATAAGTCCTGCTTCTGTTTCCTCGTCGTCGGATGATCGATTGGGTCACAATCGTGACGACAAACATGAAGATCGCAATGATTGCGACGGCAAAACTAGCCACGAAAAGTCTGCAACCAGATATTCCGCTTCCTCGATAGACGACTCTTGGCCAGGCATTGTTGGATCCGCGGTCACATCCATGCCGTCCGCTGCCGTTCAGAGCCGCTACGGCGATCATCGCGCAGAGGAAGATGAAGTCGAAGATGAGACTGGCCACTGCGAAGAAAGATATTCCTGCTGTGCAGCAAGTAATGATCATGCAGGTCAAAGTGTAAAGCATTGTGATTGCAGCCAGAGCGAGAGTCGCGATATTTCTGGTGCCAAATTGGGTTGCTGTGAACTGTGCAGATGTCAGTGATGGTAGTTCATGATGTAGATAATGCTGCCAGCGTACCCAAGCAAATGCTCCAGTGATGATGGATGCACAGCAGAAGGCGACGAAGTAGGCTGCTATCATTACGAGGCGCAGTGCGCCGCCTTTGATCGCCATTGTCAAGATCGTTCCACTTGCTGTATGTGAAAGGACAGGTCGTGACTATTAGCTGATAGAGATTAGGGGAAGGAGAATTTTAACCAAATACGAGCTGCTTTCGAGAGCACACTCCTGAGTTCCATCTCCTACCTTTATGCCTAGATTCATCCCAGAGGGTTTCTGCAAGTGAGAGCATGCCGTCATTGCTTCTCAGCGCAGTGACGAATGCCGTGGAAACGAGAACCTGATAACTCTCGAAGAGGTGCAGGACTTTGGAACGCCAAGCAACGCTCCAAGCCATGTATGCTCCGCGGCAGTCCATATTCGAGCGCACTCAAACTGCTCACACGCGTCGTACAATGATATAAAGTGCATCTCCGTCTGGTCTTGAGACGTATACATATTCGGAACAAGGATCTTGGTCCCGCGGACCGATACTGCCAATGCTTCTGTGGCTGAACAGCCTCACATTCATGAACGATTTCGTATCGTGGTGGGTCCGGAACCACGTGTGCGATGCTCTTTCTATGGCTCGATGTACGTTCCGCTGCGTGCCAATGGCCTAATGCCACCAATGATGCTTAAGAGTCTGTTTGAGGAGTGGCTATGGGGCTGCTCGCCCAGATCTTGGCTGACGTTGCGAGTCTCGGTAGCGGTTCGGAATTGTGGCTTCTAACGTATCCCCTGTAATAACTCGTCCGCTCGGAGCGTTCGTCGGCAAAACTGGGATGTCGACTAGTGTAAGTGATCTGATTGCACGGAACGATCAGATTTAAGCCGTGCGCTGCATTTAACAGCAATTCTTGCTCCACTTCAGTTCGTCGGACTTAACCCAGGACTTCGTTAAGGGGATGCCATCTCCTACTGGGTAGGCAATCAGAAGACGCACACGCCCAAGCAAGGATCGGTGAAAAGGTCGGGCCGAGCGACTCGAGTCTGGTGCGGTTGGCGTTCACTCGACGCAAAGACACTGCTGGTCAAGTTGATAGCAGCACACACGATGCAGGAAAGGGCCTGAATGAGGCTGTCGGAGAAACAGCAAATACCGTCCTTCTAGCGACGAAGAAATGCTGAAGCGCATTGAATGGCCTTCAAAGCAACCACGCCATTGCACCCCCTAGTATGGCAGCCAGTATTCCTGCCTCGTTTATGCTCGTACCCGGATTACACAAATCTCCAGACATGCAGCGACCCTATGAGATGAGATAAAAGGTGGCGCGCAGGTATCAGTACGAAACAAGAAGAGTCGACGCCTCAAGAGCTTAGGCCTGCATAGGATGTCACTCAACAAGGTGTATATCCCTCATCGTGGCATATCTGATTACCTCGCGATACCTCACAGGCCCGTTCCGCCAAAAGCAGGCGTGCTTGTTACCCTAGGTACATATACATACCGTGGCTAGCGTCCACCCGTCGGCCGCGTGTGAAATGCAGCCTGTGGCAGCTGTTCGTCGAGGTAGCAGTTGTAGCCCATTTGCTCGTCGAGGTTGGAATTGGTAAATCTTACTTCCTTAACAACTAGTGTCCCTTCAACTTGACTTGCCCGAGGGCTTAGGGGCCCTGCCACGTAGAATCTTGAACAATCTGGCCAGGACTGCAATACTTCCAATGCACGCTATCGTAAGCGACAAGTAAAGCGTGTTGCCAGTTAGATCGAGTCCAAAGGTGGAGGGGGATTGATCAACGTGGTCACTGATGCCATGATGCCGATCAAGGGGGTCACTGATGCCATGATGCAACACTCGGCCGTCCTTGTCGATCGCCATCGCTCTCAGATATCGTTTCCTCACAGCGTAGCGGTCACTGATGAGCGGAATCGCGGTCTCAAAGCCCGTCTTTGGCACTTTGATCACATCAATCCACACTCTGGCGCCTGTGAGATCGGACTCTTGTAGAAGCCATTCAACGACTTCAGTAGCGCCATTCCAGCTGAAGTATGCATTTCCATCACGAATGGCGATTGCAGGCGAATGTGTAGGCCGCCCGACCCAGGGAAACTTGTATGCTCGATAATTGTGAATGTTGCCAGTTTCCCATGAATATTTGGTACCAAAGAGCATATCGCACAAAATAGTGCCATTGCCGCTGAACTCAGCTACCACAGCGTTGATTCCGTATCCTACAACTACCCTAGCGTCGCGGCCTTTCTGCTGGGATAATAGTTGCACAGATCCTTGGCTGAACGAGATGATGTGCTCAGGATGAATGTATTCACGTACCACACGCACTGTATACGCTGGATCAGATCCTTCGATCTCGTTCAGCTTCTCGGCGTCTTTCTCACTCAATGGCCCATGGAACTCGACCCACGCATCGTCCGCTGGAACATCGCCAGGCTCGAAAGCTTGCCCGGTCTGCTTCTTGCTCGGTGTGGGATACTGTATCTCCAATAACAATGCCCTGGAATAACCTGTCCCATACTCGTAGTCGTAATCCCAGCCATTGTCAAATACAGTCATCAATTTTGTGGTTGTTCCTGGGTTTGAAGTCGATGGTCTATAGGTTTCGGGGAACAGCTCCGGTGACACGAAGCGAGCGTCATGCTGCCACGCCATATTCAAGGCATGGCCTCCAGATCGGGCCTTAAACTTGTTATCTTTTCCACCCAAAGTCCAGATCGTCTCCCCGGTTCTGCCATCGACATAAATGCTAGAATGCGTATTCCTAGCAGTGATCAAGTAATTACCATGCTCGTCCTTGTCCACTGAATTGAGATGATAGAAATCATATGGCTTTTCTTTAGTCCCAACCTCTGGTTTGTCCATCTTTTGGTAGGAAAGAGTCACATCGATATGGTCCGAAGCTCGCCACTCGAAAATGAGCTCTCCAGTCTCAATATTCACTTCCTGAACTAGGCAATCCAGGACAGCTTGGTTCCAGGTATCATTGACCTTGCGTCCAGCAGGTCTTACATCCTTGGGCGTTGTCTCGTAGACGGCTAGCACAACAGTGCCTTCTGGGGTGATCAAAAACTCATGGAAATCTGCAAGTTTTCCATTCGCGCCACTGACTTTACGAACAATGTGGTACGAGGAGTTGAGCATATAGAAGTATCCATCACCATGTCCTCGGACTCGATCGTCACCCAGCCAGAATGTCAAGTATTCCTCGCCTTGGTACTGCTGGACCCTGAGATCATATGCCTGCCCACCAAAGTCGTTTGGGAAGTGGTTCGCCCATATGACCTCGCCTTTGCGGTCTAGAATCATCGGGCCTGGTTCCCGAACTTTCCAGCCTCGAGGAGAGATGAAGTAGTATTGGCCGTCATCGCATTCTGAATTGTCGATGGAGAATTCGACCTGAGGTGCTAGAATATTGGCAGATGCGAACTCCTTGACCGGGTAGCTTTCTATGTAGACTCTTTCGACCTGGTCTGTCTCGCTAGGAAGCTCCGCAGAAGCTGCAATGGCTATTTGAAGATGCCATAGCAGCAGGAGAGCGAGCGTCATAATTTCATTGGATGAAAAGGAATGAATGAGTGGAGTTGACTATTGGTTAGTTCAAGACCTTTGATCTACGCAGCTTGTGGATACGTAGCCCAATGCCCCTATTGTACAGACTCTTCCCCCCTGGCCGGGCCATACAGGGACTGAACGCTGATGCTGTTTTGACCAATCTGCTGTCCAGAAATGTAGGCACACTCAAAGCGACGAATGAGGAATCTCAGGTGCGAGAGTCGTCTGTAGGGATAGAGCCTGTATCCGCAGCTGAATTGGAGGCAAACGCCGCTTACTCCCTACACCCATTTGCAAAAACTTCTTGAATTCAAACAGCCATCTGCAAAATCCACACTGAATTCGAGACAGTATCATACAATACGGCTAGAATACAAATATTTTTAGATAGGCTGAATCTTTAGGTATTCTTCTATAAGTCTAGAAAATCCTATGTTTCTAGCTAGCTAATTTATAGATAGCTATTCGAATTCGAAGAGTTCTTATAAATAGGTATAAACCGCTTACGAAGTAAGCGGCGTATATCTAGGATAATATCCCTACTAGGCCGCGGATATAGCCTCGGAGGCTCGGACGTAGAAATAGTCTATATACTACAGCTATAATTCTTTACCTCGCTACTATTATAAATTTATATATATTCTAGTTAAAACTTTATTAGTACGCCTTCTAACATCCCTTTAATTAATACATTGTTAGGGCTAAAGAGGCTATACGTAACTAGTATATAATTAGGCCGAGTAAAGCTAGGGTCTTAGTGCCTTAGGCAGGGCTTAGCGCTTAGCGTTAGGCTAACTAGCCTGCCTTCCTCCTTCTTCTTCTAGTTCTCTATCGAATACTACTTATATCTACTACTACCCTATCTACCTACTAATATAACCCTTCTTATATAGTATTCGATCTACCCTTTAAAGGTAGTAGCTAGATAGTCCTTATTTTAAGCTTTTAGCGGTATAGCTACGAAAACCGTTAATCTAACTATATTGCGCCCGAGGCGGGATCTATATATACTATTCTATTAGAATAACCGTACTAATTATTAAGCAAGGCCTTCTATACGGCCTACTATACTAAGTTAATTATACTAAGCCGATACCTACTAATTCCGCTATATCCGTACTATAAGGGGCTATAATATATTATTAGTCCTACCCCCTATTACAATAGCCGGCTTATTACGAAACAACAATAATAACCGTAGCGCTACTAGTAGTGCTAGCAATAACAATACTAGTAGTATATTGCCTACTAAAGTGCCTCCTACTAAAGAACCTACTAGGGGGCCTTCTAAAGAACCTATAATCGAAGAGGATAACCTATCGTTGCCCGTTAACAACATTCTTAGCAATATTGTTAACCGTCGATATAACTAGCTAGCCTTTAGCCCCTAGCTAGTAGCGAGGCTTTAAGAGGCTACCTAAAATAGGCTCGCTGCTCTACGTTAAGAATAATAGCTAAAGGACAACCTCCTCGAAATCCGCCGCCTTTAGGAGGCCCTAATAACTAACACTAAGCCGATAGTAGGGCCTTCCTTACTATTAGTCCTAGTCTAGAAGAAGGATGCTAAACTTAAGGACTATACCGTGTTTAATAGCTCTAGTCGGAAGCAATATAATAACTATATTCGTAACTGTAAGCTTAACTAGCGTAATATACCGAGAGCGCTGCTAGATAACTATTCCTTAGTTGTCTATGCTATATAGTATATTAACGGTAACCCTAAGCGTATATAGGATAACTATTTTGATTCCCTTTACGACTAGACCGCTATTTAATAGTAGGACTATAAGACTATTATACTAAACACCCTTAGCAACCCTATATTACGCTAGCAGTACGCCTAAGACTAATACCTACGTACTAAACAAAAGGCCGACTAAACCTCTCGATCCTTCGAGGCCTATCTAAAGACTCTTAAGGACGACTTACTACCTAAGACCGACTCTATCTAGATATCTAAGATACGACCTAAACTAAGATAGGAACTAGTCCTTAAATTAGACCGCCGCCGTGTGTTTGAATAGGCTAATCTTATATGTATTTAATTTATAGTAGAAGTCGAAACCGTAGAGCGTATAGTCTAGCTTTAGTAACGGTTAGAATCTAAGATACGACTAGCCGCTAACAACCGTAGCCGTAGTAGAAACTAAGGCTCCTACTAGAACAATAATACTAATAATAGGAATAGTAATAACGACCGTAGAAGAGGCTGTAGCCGACGGCTATATAGAGGAGGCCGTAATAGGGGCCGTAGAAGGGGCTCGTACCCCTATAATACTAATCGCTTAACTAACAATAGCAGTAATAGCGGCTATAGCAATCCCCTAACCGGATTAAAGTACTTTAACTATAATAGTACTAGCTATCTCCTAGGCTAATACGACAAACCTAAGGACTAGGCCCGAATCGACCGTACTACTACTAAGTACCGAAAGCACCTCTTAGCGGCTAACGCTACCCCTATAGGCCAACCTTCGAAAAAAGAATAAGCGCCGTACTAACTATTAGCCTTATACGGCATAAGACTATCGATATTATGCTAGCTATTATACGTACCTGTCTTATATAGGATACGTATAGCAACAATTATAGAACTAAGGTTATGCTAGACCTAGGGAATTCAGTTAGTGCCTTTATTAGCTATCGCCTAGCTAAGTAATTAGACCTTCGACAATTGCCTAGGACTAACCTACTAACCCTTGCTTAGTTTAATAACGCTCGGCACTTAACCTATAGGGCCTACTATATTCCTATAGTTCTAAAGGACGACCTCGGAAATAAACGCCTACTAGACTTTACTACCTACGTAGTAGATATAGACAACCTATATAAAGGAGCTACTATTGTTATTAGCAACCCTGTTCTTAAGCACTACGCCGTAGCTATAGACCTAGGCAGCTAATAGTAGCGATTTAGGATCGCTAGGAAAGAGGACATTAAATATATTAATATTAGCGAGTGCCCTAACGATATTAGGGTCCTATTTATTAGCAACCTAACCCTAGCTAATCCGACGGCCGACCTGCTCGATAGTAATAACAAAGAACCTGTGCCCTCTAATAGCATAGACCCTAATTAACTCGCTCGTATCCTATAGCCTATTCGCGAGACCTATATTAATATGTTTAAACACTACCTAGCATCGATATTGCCTATATTTAAAGAGACGGACTATAAGATCGATATTATATAGGGCAAGGAGGTTCCTTTTAGGCCCCTCTATAACCTTGGTAAACGCGAGCTTGCTATACTGCGTAAGTACTTAGATAAGAACCTAGCTAATAGTCGAATTTAGTATAGCAACAGCCCTGCTAGTACACCTATCCTATTCGTGCTAAAGAAGGATAGTAGCCTGCGTTTATATACCAATTACAGAGGGCTTAATACTGTTACTATAAAGGACCGCTACCTACTTCCGCTTATTAATAAAACCCTCGACCGCCTTTCTAGCGCCTATTTCTATACTATATTAGACATTAAGGATGCGTACTATCGTATCCGCATTCGCAAGGGCGATAAATAGAAAACAGCCTTCCGTACCCGCTATAGCCATTTTAAGTACTTAGTTATACTATTTAGGCTAGCTAATGCCCCTACTATATTCTAGTCCTATATTAATCGGGCTCTATTAGGCCTACTAGACTACCTCTATATAGTTTACCTAGATAATATCCTAGTTTATACCTATTTACCTAATATTATAGAGTACTAGGCTATAGTACGCAAGGTACTCGATCGTCTAAGGACCTATAGACTATATTGCAAGCCTTCTAAATGTACCTTTGCTACTAAGGAGGTAGCCTTCCTTAGCTTCCTCGTATTAACCGAGGGTATTAAGGCTAATCCTAATCGGATTACGACTATTACTAAGTAGCTAACGCCTACTAGTGTTAAGGAGCTTTAATTATTCCTAGGTTTTGCTAACTTTTACCGTCGGTTTATTAAGGGCTATTCGAGGCATGTAATGCTACTAACTAAGCTTACTAAAACTAAGGCTAACCTAACTAGAGAGTTCAAATAGACTAATAGAGCATAAGCCGCTTTTAACGGTTTAAAGTAGCGCTTTACTAAAGTCCCCTTATTACACTACTTCGTACTAAGCAAACTAATCCGTATTAAGACTAACGCTTTACAGTTCGCTATATTAGCTATAATGTCTTAGCAGTTAGACAGTAACTATTACTAGCACCTAATTGCCTTCTTTTTACGGAAGATAATCGATATAGAACGTCGGTACGAGACCTACGAGTAAGAGCTCTTAGCAATCGTAGAAGCCTTTAAACACTAGCGCTATTATCTCGATAGTGCTTAGCACCCTATTTAGGTCTATACGGACTATAACAACCTTCGTAGCATTACTAAGGTTACTAGGGTTATAGGTCAATAGGCTAGATAGGCTGTCTACCTCGCTAGGTTTAATTTTAATATATTATATCGGCTAGGCGTAAGTAACCCTACTAATAGCCTATCGAGGCGACCTAATTACGATAGCGAAACCTAATCCATTAATTTATTGTTTCTAACCCTATAGTATAAGATTGCTATAGACCTCGTAGTAAGGCAAGCGTAGGATAAGCGGCTTACCGGACTCCGCGACGGCTTGAAGTATATTAATGCTCTTGCTATATTAATAGTGCGTATTAAGCTTAATAACACTAATAGGAAGGGTTACGATAACTCCCTAGTCGATATCGCTATATATAGTAATAGCGACTCGGATTAAAGCACTGCTATAGTTAATCCGGCTACTAGTACTACTAGATATATATAGTACGTACTACGCACAATAGCGAGGGTGCTATTAAGCGAACTTGTATAAGGAGATAGTTAAGCCTTTATAAACGAGCTGTTACGCGCTTAACAAAGGGACGCTTTTACTACGGTCCGTATAGATTAGCTTGCTAATAGTCGCAAAACTAGATCTAGTAAGAATTAGTCGATTAATACCGATAGCTATTTGCGCTATAAGGGTAGATTGTATATCCCTGCCGAGT